GCTTGCTTCCAAAATGTCCTGAAAATTTCATCCTTCCAGGTTTCGCGGTCCCCAAGTTAGCGATTTTCCCGCCAAAAACTTTGGGGGGCCGTACGCGGGGATCACGCATGTCCAGGGGCTGAATTTGATAAATTTAAGTTGCAGATGAGCTGGTACCTTTCTCTGAAAATTTTAGCTCCCCAGCTTCCCTGGTTCCGGGGCTAGTCATTTTCCCGCCAAAAATTTTCAGGGGGTCGTACGGGGCAACCACGCGTACCTGGGAGACTGAATTTGATAAATTTAAGTTGCAGATAAGCTAGAAACATTTTCTGAAAATTTCGTCGCCCTAGCTTCCCTGGTTCCGGAGTTATTCATTTTCTCGCCGAAAATTTCCACGGGGCCGCACGTGGCAGCCACGCATAATAGGGGGCTGAATTTGATAAATTTAAACTGAAAATGAGTTGGGAACATTTCCTGAAAGTTTCAGCCTCCCAGCTTCCTTGGTTCCCGAGTTAGTGATTTTCGCGCCAGGAACCCTCACGGGGCCGTACGCGGGAACCATGCACCCCCGGGGACTGAATTTAAAATCTTTGAGCTCTAGATGGACGGGGAACATAATCCCAAAATTTCAGCTTTCTAGCTTTTCTGGTTCCCAAGTTAGCGATTTTCTCGTCAGAACTTTCACCCCCTCTTACGCGGGGCCTAGACGTGCTTGAGGGTTGGTACCGCGGTCCTGGGGCGCACTTGACCGGGGAACCCACCTGCAAAATTTTGGCTCTGAAGCTTGCTTAGGTGCCGAGTTGAAATACCCGGACAGACGCACACATACATACACACACACACACACACACAGACCCGGGTCATCACAATATGCGTTTTCGCATTTGCATATGTGCAAAAACGCATAAAAAACACACAATTCTGCTACTACCACAATTCTCGTACCTCCAGTTTGATTCTTAAGGGGAAGTGAAAGAAAGATCCTCGTTATGCGTTTTTGTATATATGCGAGTGCGAAAACGTATATTGCGACGACCCCGGTGTGCGTGTGTGTGTACGTGTATGTGTGTGTGCGTGTGTGTCTGTCTGTCTGTCTGTCCGGGTATTTCAACTCGGCACCCAAGTAAGTTCCGGCGCCAAAATTTTGCGAGGGGGTACCTCGACCAAGTGACACCCTAGGACCGCGGTGCCAATACTCACGCACGTCTAGGCCCCGCGTACGAGCGCCTCAAAGTTTTGGCGGAGAAATCGCTAGCTTGGGAATCAGAAAAGGTAGAAGTCTGAAATTTTGGGATTATGTTCCCCGTCCATATGGAACTGAAAGATTTTATATTCAGCCTCCAGGTATGCGCGTCCCCCGCGAGCAATCCCGTGAGGGTTCCTGGCGCGAAAATCGTTAGCTTGGTAACCAGGAAAGCTGGGGGCTGAAACTTTCAGCAAATGCTCTCAATTCATCTACAAATTAAATTTATCAAATTCAGCC